TCTATATTATCTACTGTGATGGCGGAATAGAGAACACACTATGATAAAATGATCCGTTATTTATTAGTGCCCGAAGTTATAATATATAAAATACAATAATGACGGAGCTAACAGAGACACGTCCGTTTTCTGCAGCTTCTAACACAAAAGAGAGCGAGGATAGGTATACGTCACGACAGGTGCTGTGACGTATACCAATGTGATCGGAGGTAGCAGGGCAATACGTGTCCAGTACCTCCAGGACAACCACAATAATATTTTACCAAAATCTATACCAAACTTGTACTTACCGACTGTCATAGGTCCCGTCAACGTCATGAAATATAATCCAATTAAAACACAAAATAATTCCTACTGACATACATGCACTTATGTCTACACCACACTAGTACTGCACGTGCAGTACAATCTGAAAATGATAATGGTAAAACTAGTACTTAAGTTTTGTACGTGACGCAAGCCCAATGTGATGCAGGTGTTCAGATACATTTATATAGTACAAGAACAAATTCATTTGCAAAAGATGTTTTATATTAACTTTGCCATAAGATAGGCCTATTTCCAAAAACAGGCAAATAGGGTGTGTTTGTGTGTATGTTGATGGGAGAGGGGTGGGGGGTTGACTAAATTGATTGGGTATATGGCAGGTGTTTCTGCCTAATCAAATATAAAAAAAATGTTTGTACATTTTGAAAAAATCATCAAAAACGCTTTACACTAATTGAATAATATTATTTGTTGTTGATCTATATGAGAAAATAGATTTTAATTAAAAGTTCCAATTATGGGCCAAAAATTTATATCCCCCTTAATCAATCCTAATTTACATCATTAATTAAATTCTGTTGTTTAATTTCAGACTGGTGGACTTTTGCGAAGACATTGACTTTTACAGTTGACGGCTTACTTTTACAACAGGAAAATATACGGTAGCTCTTTTGTGAAAAAATATTGATCTTAATATTTAACAAAAAGATGATAACAGGCTATTTCAAAGATCATATTACGTTGTCGAGAACGAAAACGGCAACATTCCTACCCTCAACACCCTCCCTTCAAGTCTTGACTAACGTCTGCCGAGTTTTCTTACCAAAATTTGCCTTCTTCTTTATTTCATTTCTTAAGTTATTTAAAATTAAATGATATATTAATTCTAATGAATTAAGTATCCAAATAAATTTTATTTTACCATCAATTATAATTTTTGTTTGATAAATTATTTTAAGCCCCGAATACATAACTTTCACCTCTTGAGATGTTTTATTTTCTATTTTCAATTCCGTACCTCCGTACATGACGCAGGTTTAAATGTCCAAGTGAGCTGTCGAATGTAAAAGTAAGTCTCTTCATAAAACTCCACCGGTAATGAATTAAGATATATGAAATACCTATAGGATCGAGGCTCATGGGTCGCATGGTCACCTGAGCATATTATGCTCAATTTAATGAATACATGTATAATGTAAACTATTGAATTATATTGACTTTTTCCCTGAAAAAGCCCAATTTGAAGGAGTGTGCATTTAGAGGCAAACACCTTAGTGCGGGTAGTACTGTCTCATGACAGCATCTAGTTTTATGATATTACCGTTCAAAAAATATATATCAATCCATGCATCAAAATTTTGTTTGTGTTATGCATCCTTAATATGTTTAATATTCACAAGTCGCCCGATCATCGAGCTCTGGTCTACAGTTTGGTTTTTACCGTCGGCCGGAATTTTGAACATCCTTATTTTCGAAAGACGAACGACTGACTTAATAAACTGACTGCCGATGGTCCGACGATGATCTAAGGTTGGTCGACGGATAACTTCAATTGAAGAAATCAGTCACCGACGCAGAAAAAAAAATTATAATTTGTATAGATGGACACAAAATTGGTCGGCCGCCAAAAAAGAGTTCAAAATTGGACAAGACAACGGCTGATGAACTATGATTGTCACCCGAAGAATCCCACTTTTGCTTCAAAACCCGTCGGCCGTTGGTCGTTTTTAGAAATGTGACAGGGATTTTAAGGAATCTCTAAAATATAAGAGTATGATGTAAAAAAAATGTGGGCCTCAAGAAACAATGACGCTTTATAAATGAAACTAAATTGTGACAGCGTCGGGTGATCTTATAATGCATTCCTTATTTTAGGATGATTTAATAAATATTCATGGTGTCAAGCTAAAATTTCAACATTTATTTAAATTTTGTTGTTTGATATTTCTGGGATAAAAATTGTAAGATTTGACAATATATTATTAAATTTATTGCACCAGTCTTCGAACTTTTTGAACAACCCTCGTATAATGGATTCAAAAATTTCAAAAAGATACAAAGATACATAGCGGGTTCCAGTAAATGTTCAACCAAGCCTCTTTCTTTACCCTCACTACGATATTAACTGTAGCTAAGGAGAAACTTCAAGAGTACTGTGCAACAATATGATAGTATTCAAAAAGTTGCGTAAATTAGATGTATTTACTTAAAAATTCCAAGGAACTTTGGAAAGTTTGAAATCAAAAGATTTCACATTAATAAACAGCTTTAAAACAAACGACATTTCAACTTTTTACACAACCATTCCACAAGATGGTCATAGGGATATATCGTATCGACCATGAAAATGGAAATAACCATTTTAATTGACAATACGTCTTCGGTATATCTATATATTGAGTTGAAGGCCAGCAACGTGTGTTTTCTTTTTTTCATGTTAACGATTTGGACAAATTATGTTTCATATGAATACAAAAAAATAGGTCTGCTAATCACGGGGCGCAATTGGTACCCATGGGAATTTCAATAGACTGTTGAAAGACCCGGTCTCCAAAACCCACATAGATATTGTCAATCAGAAACTCAAGCATCTGTTTGATGTCAACCTCAGAGTACTTGTGTGTAAATTCTGAATGCTTTAAACAAAATAATTTTGCAAATACCAATGACAAAGTTTGTAAATTAACAAGTTCCATTTTTATTAACAAGCAGCTGTCTATTTGTGAAAATGAAATGTAAGTAATGATAAATAACCATGTTTTTTTGTAAATTGAATATTGATAAATATACCGATCCAGGTAGCTCCCGGCACCCAAGGTGAGGTATTAACCGAGCGCTTCTGAGGAAGTTTTGCCTCAAAACATTATTGTATGTTATTGAAAACAAGCAGCTGTCAATGATATCAAAAAGCATGGACTGTAATTTATCGTGGGGAAAGGTTGTGCATAAAGTTGAAAAGTCAAACATCCACTGGTACTTTAACTTTGAATAGGAATATCTCGAAAATTAACAATAGGTAAGGTATGTTGCGTACTTCCTTAACCTTGCCATAAACTACAATGCCGACCTACAGCATATGCATTCTGCTTTACTTCAGCTACACGTTATCTTTCGGGGAGCCATGAAAAAGCAATAAAATCTGAAAAAGAATCATAGAACTTAAAAAATAATATAATTCCTTTTGAACTTATGAATTAGTTTTGTCCAAATCATGGTCCGTGATGGCATGTTGGACGACAATAGGATGTTAAGATTGCAGTATAGATATAATAATTAGATGATGTGAGTGTATAATTGATATGTTTTTTCTTTAACCAAGGAATGCGGTAGACGCTTACTTCATATTAAAATAATTTAAATATGACTGTGTTTATTTATAAAACTTATATACATGTGGCACGTATTTTCAAATAATAATCATAACATGCACAACTCTTTTTTGCATAAAAAGTTGATATACCATTGACTATGAGTGATATTTAGTAAATTCATTTAACATATATTGATTTGTCATTTATTTATCTGTGCAGTTTATTATGTAACGTGAAACGGTCACCCATCCAAGGGTTAAACAGGCTCGCCGTTGCTTAACTTGTCTGAAATAAAGGGAGACTCTACCGCATCACCAGAAAAGCTAGCTCACTGGCGAGGCAGTATAAGTTCCCTATATATTGTCCGCTACAACTCCCCCCGCTCAGCGAAGCTTCGACCCGAAGCTTAGCATGAGTTCTCTCTGAGTATCTGGGCCTCTTCAGCTATGGCAACCAATACCGTTCCCGGACACGAAGTCCGTACTTGGACACAAAGTCCTAGTCTTAGAGCTTCCTGAAGTAGGTCGGAACCTGACTTCAGATACGGCAACCACTGCCGTCGACAGACACGAAGTCTGTAAATAGACACTAAGTCCTAGCTCTAAGACTTCCTGAAGCAGTACACCAGTCAACCAGAGTCACATCGCTGCCACCAATTTTGTAACATGAAGCGGTCACCCATCCAAGGGATAAACAGGCTCGCCGTTACTAAACTTGCCTGAAATAGAAGGAGACTCTACCGCATCACCAGAAAAGCTAGCTCACTGGCGAGGCAGTATAAGTTCCCTATATACTGTCCGCTACAATTATATTGATTAGTAAGAAAAAGTAATAAATCTATACTGCTATTTTTTTTCCTCTCGTGCCATGAATATGTTCTGTACATACGTCTTCTGTAACAGTTTCAAAAAACGATTCAAGATATTTTCAATATTAATTTCATATGCTGATATATATGATGAGAACTTTTTAAATGCATCAACATTGTTTGCTTTTGAGCATTCTTTTAACCTTCATGTCAATTTTTTAAAATGAGTATCTATTTGTCTCAAATAAATTGTTTTCTTGACCTTGACCTCATTTTCTTGATTGAATGAGTGCTACAGATCAGTTTTGAAAATTATGGAAGATATTTTTATCAAACCTCATCTGCTAATACATAAAAATAAAAGTATTTCAACTTAACATTTATCAACCTTGACCTTTCATATAACCTTGACCTCACTTGTAATTGTTGTGTGGAGCTTAGTTTGAAAGAAAAACATGCTGCTGTGGAGTTCTGAAACAGGATCAATAAATCTTTCAAGGTTTAATTTTGATCTTGGATTAAATTTACCAGCATCAGAAATGATAGGTTCATCTTTCTTCATCCAGAAAAACTTCTACAAAGTCCAAGCATATGAAATTTATTTTATAATTCCGTTTAAAATCACGACAACTTAAAACCAGAAAACGAGGACCAATAACCATCAGCGTATTCCCCTTGTCCTGCATACGTTTTTATCCAGACCTTGTCATTCTTCTTCATTTTTATAATTGTCGTGGCTGATCCTGATGAGTAAGTATTACTTCCAGTCTTTCCGTCTGCATAGTTGTATCCAATGGTATTACTTTTATCATTGAGAACAATATTTGTATTAAACGTCTTCCCACGGTGTGTCAGAATGGTCCATGTAAATGAATAGATTCCATCCTGAGGCGCCGTGAATATCCCTGTCTTACTATTATAGGCGGATCCAGAATTTTCTGTAACTTTTCCAAATACCACTACGGCATTACTTCCGAGGTTCTGCAGATTACTTGCCATTCGGGCATGAAATGAGATAATATCTATGGGTGGAAATAATGCTAATGTGAATGTTTGTGTCATGCAGTTTATTTATAAGTTCATTTTAATATTTAAAATTCAGTTTTTTCAGAGGATTTGAATTTTGTTTGGTTTAAACATATTTTTTTGATATAATCAATTGGATCAGACACAAGTTTTTCCAACTTAGAATGTCCTCTCCAACACAAACAAAAAAAACAAATTTATATACACATGATGAACAACAAACAAATCTACAATTCAAAAAGAAAAAAGGGTGCAGAGAGCTAAGAAAGGAAGGGAATAGGAGTGCAACGAAAGATGGGGAAGGGGATGTAAAGGATACAGAATGGTTACGTCTGCTATTCAAAAAATCTTTTCGAATTTTAAATATACTTATGTACGGCTTTAACAATATTAATATTATTTTGTTGACCCAAGTTTGGATTCCCAAAAAGAATTTTGTCAAGGTCTATTTCTCCTTTGTTATTTTCTATAGTATGAAATAATTCTGTTCTTATTTCTCTGTAATTTTTACAAAAGAGGAAGGAATGCTCAGTGTTTTCATTGATATATCCACAAGAACACTGAGTAATGTCTGAAAGTCTAAACTTAAACAGATCTGACTTAAGGAGGCTAACATTGTGTCTCATTCTGGTTAAAAGTGAATTCATTTTTTTTGTCGCCATAAGAAAAATATTTTAAGGGAAAATCACCTTTAGAGAGTCTCTTTTTGAAAGCATTTACAGTGTCAAGGTTTCTAATCTCAGTAGGCAATGCATTCCATGCTGATATTGCGAATTTGGTTCAGAACCAACTCTTTCGAAATAAACAATTTTTAGAAAAAAAAAATAGACAAAATCCCAGAAAAATTGATTCTCAGTTTATACTCCCAGGATATTTTTCATTATAAATAAATCAAATTTTTGCACATAAGACACGTTGTATCGTTTTTGAAAGGGGGCGAATATCTTTTTTATCTTACCTGAAAAAGGGGTGCCCCCTACAAAAAAAAACAAAGAAAGTACTCCAAAATCCTTGCAGGGGGAGGGAGGGTGTGTGTTCCAATTTTAACCAAATTTTATTCATACATTATCACATTACTCTGCATAGACATTACTTTAACAAAATATGGGCGAGGTGTCAACATTATAAAGGTTGAATTAATGCTTAAAAAACAAGTCCCCACCCCGTCCCTGCGTGCCTGCTTATCATTTTGTTTATTGACAAACATGTTACCTCTTTCACGCCCATTACAGTTATTTCCCTTGAAGCCCATTCCACGACACACTTCATTATACGTGTTGAATTTCTTCAGGAAAGCTTTTGTACCTGATTCTGCATTCGCCCCAGAGAGCAGGAGACTTACAAAAAACAGCTTCAAAAACTGGTATCTGTTACAATATTGAAATAATTACTTAAATTTATCAGTGATCCATTGAAATTGTTCAATTTAAAAAAAAATCATAAGGTTTTAAATGTATGAAAAAAAGACTCACGTGTACATTGCTTCTCAAACAGATTTTCCTAGTAGATTGTACAAGATTTTCCTTCTTTCAATCAAATTTCAAGTACTCTTTATATATTGTATGTTTATATATCTAAGGACATTAAAATGTAATATAAGTTGAAATATACTGCTATATATTGATTTTGACTGTCATGATATATTATTTCAATAATATAATATGTGAAAATCAAAACTTATATAAAAAAATTTCTTTTTATTTGTTTCGCAATGTTCACTCAGTTATTGTGAATATTAAGTCTAAGTGCCTCATTGCTAAATAATCTTTTTATTATTATTTCTTTTAATGTAGGAATTTTACTCATGTCTTAGAGTAAATGTAACACAGTGTATATATACTAAGTAAGTAAGTAATCATTTATTATAGAGACATTGTGCTTATAGACATTTCAATTTACATTGTAAACAAAATACGTCAAACTGAATCTGTACTTGACCCATTGGACCTATAAGTCACTTTTTCCATTAATTACATATATATAAATTTACACATGCAGAAGATACTTGTACATATATTGTATTTATTTTACCTATTATATTTTAATATACATATACTATCTTTGATATGAAAACAATGCAAGACAAAAGACTAGTACGATAAAATTCAATAATTTACACTCGTAGATATAAAATAGCTTTGAATAAAAATTAGTGCTGATTTTTAATCAAGTATTATTTAAGTTCTTAAATAAAATTTGTTTAAGCGATTTCTGATAGCGATAAAACATAAATTTGTTTAAAGTTTGAACAAATATTAATTTCCTTTACAGATTAAATTCTTTAAATCACATTTCAGACCTACGTGTAGGATCTATAGGAAATTATGTATACTCTCGATATAAAGAAATTGTGATTTCGTTATATAATATATCATTTTAAAAAATTGATAAGGCTTTAATGAGTTTTCAAAAAGAGGTCATGAGGTTATTTTCTCTGACTTTTATAGCAAGTTGTTAATCGACTAATTTTTATGGATTTTTCCGTTTCCAGATCAAGACAAGGAGCACGCGGCAGGTGTGACCGATCAACAGATTTACTCCACCTTGTCACTTGATTCCACGTTGATGTTTTTAGACGCCGCATTTACCGAATGCTCTCCATTTTGTATTGTTCCGATGGACCTTTGAACTTGATTTCTATTCAGTATTTTCACCAAAAATTTGTTCTCTGTTATTCCCATAGATCATATACATACAATAATTAAGATTGCATATATCACGAATGACAAAAAAACTGCTTTCATTACTAGTGACTAATCACCTTTTTTCAGGTAGAAGGTAAATGATAGCTGGACCAGAGATTAATAAAGGATTTCATGATGACCTCAGAGAAATTAATCGTAATCAATATCATGCATATTCCAAGTGTGCACGCCTTTAGCAATCACTTTGAAAAAATAAGAATGACATTTCAATAGGTTGTAGGTACGAGGGCAGTTCAATAAATAATGTCCTGAATGTCCTGAACTGTATCTGAATTGAATCTTTAATGTATTTATAACAGTTTATGTGACCACTTTTCATCACATAGTTTCATTGTGAGAAGCTGGGAAACAAGGGCTATTCGAGACATTGCATTATAAATGAATGGTAAAGAATTGGCAAATTAGGGTGAAACTAAAAGCTTCACCAAAGTTGTAGAAAACTCGTTAAAATTCCAAAGAAATATTCACTGATATATGTGACATTTACAGCAATCAATGCCTGTTTCATAGACAAATGAGCAGGTGGATTTCAATGATAAAAATATATATTATAGGTATCAAAAATAGGTACCATCCTTGCCAACAAAAAATTATAACAACTTATGTACTGTTTGCCAAATTTCAATGATGTAGGATTGACTTTAAGACACATAACAAATTTGATAGACATCATATCGGGAATAGTTTACACTGTTTTCAAGAAACGTTTGACGAAAAAAAAAGCTTAGTACTCAAAGGGCACTCTATATTTTGAAAAATGAGTGAAAACGACAGCGTGTACGAAGGTCTTAACATTTTTTTAAATATCAGTAAATTGGAGTTATCCGCGTTTTTTTTATATTCAAAAATATACTGGAACTTGAATTTATTGCTTAAAATCCTCAAAACAAAATTTACCATAAGATGTACTTGACAAAAACAGCGAAGGTCTGGCGAGAACAAAGAATTGCAAGAACACAAAGACATACTAGTATTAATATGCAATTTTCTTAAATATTAGTGGTATTGTTGTTCAAATTCGTAATCGAGGTGATAGTTTAATTTCTGGAGGAGTCTAGAGAGCAAATTGTTTGCAAAAAAATCGCAAGGTTTACTAGAGGAAGGACCCAGAATCAGGAACCCACTACATTAAATCTCGTCAAGACAGCGTCCAAACCCGCACGCCCTGAAGGTCCATATATATAAAATAAATTTTCTTTTCTTTTGAGGCGTTTTTCTATTTTCTTTCAAGCCATTTTTACAACTTTGGTACCTGTGCCTAGTAAATTTTATGTACTTTGTGAATAAATAAAGGTTTTTGACAGGAACTATTTTTTTCAGGGCATAGGAGGCTACTTCCTGTGATGCACTCGAGGTGTTTATAAACAAAGTGAAAACACGTGGATTTGAGGGTAGCTCTGTTTGCAGATGGAAAAAGTCCGAAAATGCCGTGTGGGTACCCTGTTTTTTGGTGTCAGCTAATGTGACAGGTAATGTTTAACACCTCCTGCTAAATATTTTTTCATGTAAACTAATACCTGATTTTTAACGATTTTTATTCTATATAGAATTATATAGTGAAAACAATTACCGGTGTGATACCTTAAAGGGGTTTTCAAGATGAACAGATGGTTAATATTTATTCACATTAACAATATCCCCCAGATCTTTGACCTTTTGACTTGTTTCTATTTCCAAACTTGAAATAACATCTTTAATAAAGAAGAAACACAAGTCTAGGAAATCATTGGATCTGCAATTTTCAGGTATACTAAGGATCAATACCAAAAATGAGTTCTAGAAACATTCAGAAATTAGATAAAAAATGTTACTGACATGTGTTTTAATAAAAAGAGATTAATAAGTAAAATAATGAGGGCTTGATTATTAAAAAGCGTCTTTTGCTTCTTTCCGAGCACCGAGGACATTATTTATTGAACAGCCCTCGTATTATGGAGCACTCACTTTGAAAAATTATGAATGACGTTTTAGTTCTAGATATTATGGAGCTTATAGACAATTTTGAATTAAAACCTGCCGAAAGAGCGAAAAGAATGGGAAAAGATAAATCTATGGAAGTAAGTAAAAGAACGTCTTTATTCGGTGCGGTCATATTTCTATGCATCGCCAAAACCCCTAAACAACACAGAATACAAAAATAAGTCAAAGGAGAGAAGGATTTGAATATCCTGTCAGATGTGACGTGAGTCTTCTCTCCATATCTTTAATCAAATAATTCAATTTTATGGAAATCTAAAATATTTGTTTCAGCATAGGAATGAAGCTTGTCCATTGGTGTTATCTGAAGGCTGTATTCGTCATCTTAGAACCAAACATGATTTTTTGACATCACATGTAGATATTTAACAATGTATCATGAGGCTCCCTTGACAAACTATTTATTCTGGATGGTTTTATTAGTCATTATTTTACTGGTAATCAGACCTTCGTGTGATCCAGTACCGAGGAATATCAAACACATTGGAACTAGATCCAGTACCTAGGAATATCAAACACATTGGAACTAGTTAAAAATGCACCACTTGGTGTACATACAAAAACAGATCAGAATAGACTTTGATATTGAATTCAAATGAAATCTTGAGCATACTGTGTTAAGGAGGTCCGATACTTAGCTTTTGAGCAGATTTTGGTCTGGACCTTTATAATATCTTTGAATCATCTGCTTAATTTCAGCAAAGAGTTGAAGATTATATAAAATTGTTTTCTTGGATATTATTTTTTTTAGTGCCAAAAAGGTCAAATAATTGTCTTTTTTAAAATAGACTTCTAGTTTATTTTGTTCCATGCTTTATTTAGATAGAAATATTGGAGGGAAATTGTTGAAGATATAATCTCAATATTAATTGAGGTATAGGCATGCATATAGTTTTGACTGTTACCAATTATTTTACATGTTTTCACTTATGAAAAAGTGACTTCGTACAAGTATTTTTTATCTAAAGCACAAACCCTTTTTTTATTGATAATTCAGAGAATATTTTTATTATCTTAAACCATTATTCGAACGTTGATACCGTGAAAGATTTTTGAAAACTACAATCATAACGGTAATTTCGAGATGCCATTTTGTAAAATGGCTATTATGGCTGACAGGACCTGATTCTGTAACGGCCCAAAATCCCGATTACTTTATAATATAAATGTCTATATCTGTGTCAAAAATCGCGCTTCTGTCACAAAGTGCACAATAGATTACCTATGCCATAGTACCACTGCTGCTTTCTCACGTATAGTGTTGGTTATCAGTTTTATATCTTTACGTTGGTACAGACCCTATTGAGTACGGTTCATACGTACATGTATAAGAATCTTCCGCATTTTCAACCTTACATTGTTAGTCTTCAATTTATCTTTGTGTTTTAATTCTTATATAGTAAAAAGGAAAAAAAATGTGTACAACATTGTTGAAACATTAACTAAACACATATAGAAAGGACTAAATATTATTTAGCTTTGCTTAAGATAGTGGAATATATAATATGTATTGAGGGGGCCAGTTTATGAATTATAGAAGTGTTCATATTTCGGGAACTTAATTTTGTTGGCTTTGAGGATCTTTCTCACTATTGAATATAATTACATGGAATGTATATCAATGCTGAGATTGTTAGACCCTAACATGGAATTCCAAGTTCATCATGATCCCTCAGGAAATCCGATGATTGTAGTGTTGAATGTTTGCAATAAATATCTGTATCTTATTTTCTCTTTATTTTGTTTTATTTGTATTTAAGGTGGAATGCCACACCAAATTTTTATTTTATAGATCTTTGAGTCATCCTTTTAAAACAAGGGTTTTAGCATTGAAAGGTCGATATTATAGCTCTTAATTATCTTATATGATTTTTTTGTATCTTTCCAAAGAAAATGAGATGTTTTCAAGTTAAAAGTTTGCAGTAAATGAATGTATCATATTAATATCTAATAAAATATGTACAGAAAGGATTGTTAGACTTTTTAAATTTTTTTATAAAAAATATTTTTGAAAATAAAACACCTTATTTGTGAATATTTTTGTAAACCTATGGTTAAAATCACTATAAAACTAGTCACAACTGAGGACAACATGTTTGTCAATCATTTTTTAAAAAGAAATTGAAACGAAATTGAGAAATTGTAGAGCTAATGTCGGCCTTTTTAATGTATTTAATCTTATCTGTAAAAATGTTCCAGGTCTGCTTTGAAAAGGGGAATAGTGTTATGGATAACCTTGTCTACAAAAGAGTACGGGACAGATTTGGAAACCATGCAGTTTAACTACTGTAAACTAACTTTTATTCACAACGACTTTATTTTCGCGGGTTACTAAGGATGAGCTACTTTGCGACGATTAATTTTTGCGATCAAGCCTTTTTTGTTCTGGTGTTAATAGACTTATACATTTTAATGACTGGTTCGGAGCGAGAAATATTCCCGATGACGCGAAAATTTCTCGCACGCGAAAAAAAGTTGGTTTACAGTATTCTTTGAATTAACTTCAGAAATGGAGATCAGAATGTTTTTACGCTCGTCTGTATACTACAGAACATGTTAATGCTAACTGTGATCTAGATCTATCCATAATGAATGTTATAGCTGGGTTTCAAATATATAACATTTATTGAATATATTTTCGTCATACCTTAATGTGATGATACCCAAATATTAAAGTATTTCAACTTTATCCACGTTGATTAACCTTGACCTTTTTTAACCTTGATCTCATTGATGATCTCACTTTTATTAATGTCGTGTCAAGCTCAGTTTAAAGAAACATTCTGCGGTGGAATATTTAAATATGAAAATCTTTTACAAAGTCCAAGTATATAGTTTTTATTTCATAATTCCTTTACAATCATTACAATTTAAAACCAGAAAATGAAGACCAATCAGCATAAGCGTATTCCCCTTCTTTTCCATTCGTTTTTATCCAGACCTTGTCATTCTTTTTCATTTTGATAATGGCTGTGGCGGATCCAGATGAGTAAGTCTGACTCCCATTCCTTCCGTCGGCATGGTTGTACGCAATGACATTACTGTTATCATTCAGTACAATGTGTGTATTAAACATCTTCCCACGTTGTGTTAGAATGGTCCATGTAAATGAGTAGATACCATCCCGAGGCGCCGTGAATTTTCCTGTCTTACCATTATAGGTGGATCCAGAATTTTCAGTAACTGTTCCAAATACCACTACGGCATTATTTCCGAGGTTCTGCATATGACTTTCCATTCGGGCATGAAATGAGATAATATCTATTGAAAGAAAATAGCTACTATTTATATTTTAATTTACCCAAATTAGGGGGGTTTAAAATACCCCCACATTGCAGTATGTTATATTATTGTAATTTTGATTGTTTAAAAAAATATTTTAATGATAAATACAAATTAAACTGATTTTTTAGTACATCATTCTTATATCAAAAGCTTAAAGCAATATGAGCTGTATCTCTGAGAATTTTATTTTTCTGGTAAAATGTGCTTTTATGATTAATTTGTATGTTATTAAACCCTTATAACCAATAAGCACAAAATAAAGTTTAAAAATGTTTCGGAATAAATATTTCTGTACGACCGAACATACAGTTTTATATTAGAAATCATTATTGTACAGGACGACAATAAATCAATTTTGCTTCAATCAAAACTAATAAAAAAAATTTCCATCGCGAATATGAATAATATAAGTTTATAAATGATTTATGTTTCTGTCATTAAATTATTAAATCACATTTGCAATAAAAATTTCCGATGTCAAACATGGAGCTCATTATAGACAGGAGTTTTCAAATATAAAGTGTCATGCATTTTATTTACAAATTAACTACATTTTTCAGACAATCATGCCGATTCAGGGAAAAAAGTTTAACATTTTCAGACGATTTAAATTAAGCTCAGAACTTTTCAAATTGAAATTCGGTTGAAAAAAGATGAAATACACGGTAGATAGAAAAATTATACTTGCTCTTTGATCATTAGTTTAATTATTTTAAGTTTTTATTAGATTATGAATATGATATCTTATTCATGAAAACACGGACCTCCAAAACATCAGATGTGGGATCCGGTGCCATGGAGGAGTGAGCATCCCCTCACACCCGCCGAGCGCTTCTTGTCATGATCGGGAAATAAAAGGAAAATGATCAATTCAGTGTGTAAAGTGTAAATCGGCATTTTACTCAATGATAAATTGTATTTGCTGACAAGGTCATTGTATCGACCATAGAACTTACGAAATGGTGACTTTAAACGAGACTGTTGATCCTCTTGTTTCATCAACTTGTTTATCAATAATTTGCTTCGTTTTAGAAGTTGTACATAGGTAGATCATCTTCTTGTGTATCAAATCGACTGAGAGATACATGTATAAACAATGTATGCATGTGATAAAGGTTTATTATACCTCATTATAAATATTCTACACAACGCGTTATCTGATTGGTTCTACGTTATCACGTGATCGGGCCGTAAAACTTCATATTTCCCGTCGTAGGCACGCTTTTCATCATATTCCACCTTAGCCTGGTTCCCGAGGCCTTCCGATGTGCACACATCGGAAGGCCTCGGGAACCAGGCTAATTCCACCTCTTCGGAACACCTAGTGAATTTTCCCGCAATATAGTTCTCGTTCGTTGAATGAAAACTCCCGAGAGTAGTAGACGTCACAATAACCTGGTTTACGTCACAAAACTGATGACAATGTGTTGACCAAAGGGTACCGGTTTTATAGTAACATTACGTTGACAGTGAAAGTGTATGTTTATTTCAAAGGTTTTGCTTTTTTCGGTATAATAAACAATTCATTGCATGAATGTTCGGGAAACATGAAGACTTATTCAGCCAAGAAATATCATATTCCCCTCGGGCGAAGCCCTCGGGGAATATGATTTTTCTTGGCTGAATAAGTCTTCATATTTCCCTCACTATCATGCAATAAATGTATAATATTGCTGCAAAAGAAAGGGAAGGTGGTTGAAAAGTTAAAGTGATCACGGTTATCATAGAGCTTGGTCGTTAGATTTCCATGCATTGACATCTTTTTTAAAGTAAAATATCCATATATGAAACTAATCTGGAAAATTTAGGTCAGATCCAGCAAATGATGCAAGCCATATAGTGTATCATCCCTGCGAGTTTGGTCAACGAAGGGGTAAGGGGGGCTGTTAAAAAAACTTTCAATATATAGGAAAAGGTAATTAATGTTTGAAAAAGGACCCCCGACCCCCCCCCCCCTCCCTCCCCCTCTTTGATGCTTATACACATGCATGTTATTTGTACCTCTTTCGTGTCCTTTACAGTTACTACTAACTCCTTTGAAGCCCATTCCACGACACAATTCATTATACGTTTTGAATTTGTTGAGGAAATCTTTTGTGCCCGATTCTGCATTAGCTCCAGTAAGCAGGAAAGTTGTAAGAATCAGCTTCAAAAACTGGAATCTGTTAATATTAAATAAAAAAAAGTTTTACAAACCATGCAAGTCTTGAACTTCAAATGCTATTAATATCACAGAAAAAAGTGTATAATGTTTTAAATGTAAGAAAGTACGACTTACGTGTACATTACTTCTCAAACAGATTTCCCCTGTATATTGATAATGTATTCAATGAATTTCTAGTACTATTTATTTATGTATGTACATACATTTAAAGTCATTAAAATGTAATATTAGTTGAAATGTGTGTATTGATTTTGAGTGTCATGATATATTATTTCATTTGTGAAATCACAACTTATAATAAAAGAATTTTTGGTTTATTTGTTCTCCAATGTTCACTCAGTTATTGGGTAATATGAATCATTGCAAAATAAACTAGAGGTACTGTGAGCGATGAGCTCACTAAATGATACCCCCCGCCTCCCATATGGTTATAACTGGTGAAAAAGTCCATGTTTTCCTGTGGCCGGGAAACCCAAAATATGTGTCGGATCAAAAAGTAAAATAGGAGGTGCATAATGGCAATATGTAATAAAGATTATGTGAAAGTTTCATCAAATTTCATTCAGTGGTATGAGAGGAGTTGCGGATAAGAGATGGGTACCCCAAAGTGTAACAGACGGACGGACGGACGGACGGACGGACAGACGGACGGACGGACGGACGGACGGAATATCAAACGGACGGACGGAATTAACGATTACCATATACCCTCCCGCTTTTCAAGCGGGGGGGGGGGTATAATAAACATTTGTTGTTTTTTTTTATGCTCCCGTAATCGAATAAATTTTACATGTATAAGTTCAGAGAAACAATGAAGAAGACAGATACTGGTCAGCTAGTACGATAACATTCAGATAAGATATAATACTAGTATACACTTGTAAATTGAGAAAGATTTTTTTTTAAAGTTAATTAAATTTTACATATGGGGTATTTTTGACAAGAAATAAAAAAAAAGTTCAGACTGATCAGATTTATTTAGAGAAATAATACGACTACATGTGTCCAGCATTTGGCATCGTGAGAAAAAAAATATATTCAAAACTTTTACTTATAGATGGTCATATGAAAGCCTTTTCCTCAAAAAATAATATATTATAGAGAAATGAAACAATCGTCTATTACAAGTACAGTATCACCCATATAGAGTGATCTCCATTTCACTTTTTGTTTGAATGAGTGAATGAATAAATAAATAAATAAATAAATAAATAAATAAATAAATAAATAAATAAATAAATAAATAATCAATTAATTTTTATTGGACCGGAGTGAGCCAACGTGTACGTGATCTAGGGTCCACCTGACTGGGCCGAGTTGTCTGGTGTGACGAATCGAGTTGTCGTAGGACCGAGATGTCTGTCTCCCACCGATATTGGTTTTAACAATTACACACAAAATGGCTTGCTTGGTAACAGTGTCTTGACTCTAAGCGAGGATAACTGTGGCAAAATATGAGCTCAAAAAAGTCTTCTAAGGCTGTTGACAGCAGTTTTGCTGAAGGTTTGCAGTTTTTTGTGTATGTTCATAATGTTGGAACTTTTGCTTCCGTCGTAGTCAGGTAGCAGGTTCGCGCTCTTTCCCGAATGTCCTCAGACGCATTCACTGTAGGAGATTAAACGTAATATCTGGTACTTAATGGACATTTTATTTGATATTTTTAGAACATCATCGATATTGCCAGAGACCTATATACTAAGTATATAAGTATGTTACTATATAGGTCCTTGATATTGCAATTTATTTAAGTGAAATGTATATTAATTTTATTAAAATTAAATGTTAGAATGTGAATGCACGTATATGGTCAAAGGTCCTATAGTCGTGCGTGCCCAGTAGTCGTGCACCATTTTGTTTGTTGTCAAAAGTTGGTCACGTGCTATTATATTACGTCATAAACAAGTGATTTTCAGAAGAAGAGAGAAGGAAGTGCCTACCCTAAAACAATAAGTTAAATATGCGGAGTAAACATTAATTAATTCATTAAATAAGCAAAAGCATCAATAAAAGCCGCCATTTTCTTAATACTCTTTTTAAAGTTTCTAAAAATATACTCTACCTGCACGGAAGCGCCACCTATGGACACAGCGAGCACATGGCTAATTAGCATAATCATACGTGATGGTCGCTGTGTATTTGATATTTTTTCCTTTTGTCAAGAATTTTAAAAGATGACTTCATAAAAATGGTATAGTCCTTATACTGAAATACGTAATTATTACGTAGAAATATGTGTAAATAAAGAGTGATGAAACACTAGCTTATGACTTATTTTAGAAAAACAATCGTAAACCTAATCAAATCAAATAAATTCTTAAACATGATTGAATTGATCCTTGAAGAATAACATTTTAGTCACCTGAAATTTGTTTTTATTTTGTTTTCATTTTTCTTGGCCCAATATTTGCTGCTACATTCGAGCGCACGACTACTGGTCCAAAACAAATATGGCCGACGAAAAATCCACTTGTTTCGTGCCCCGATATTAAATTTAATAAAGCGCTTAGAAATATGTTACATAACAAGAAAATTAGAAAATTACACGGTAAGTTAAGATATCAGAAGAAATAACCATAATTTTCATCTAAATTTTACTAAGCACTGATCCTCTCTTAAGAGCACGACTACTGGGCACTCGAGGGTACTGATGGATCTTGTAGAAATTCAGTGGCATATGGTTAATTTGCACATCGATGATCCACTATTTCTATATGACATGCATATATTCCTTTTATCCTAATAAGAGTTCATTGGAGATAAATATATGGATTTTTTGCGTAAAGTAGAGAGAATCTTTTCGTTACATAAAAGTCTCAGTTATAGATAGTTTTCGATTGACCTAAATTTAGCAAGAGTTACTTCCCGTTGGCTGCCATACTGGAGGTCCAAATGCTCATTTTCCTTCGTTTTTTAACCATGCATGCAATTTTAAATTTTTATATTTGCGATTTTGAATTAGGAATCATTATTTTTCTGAAGATATAAATTTTTTGAAGCCTTCTTCATTTAAAAAAAAATATTCAAAAAAGATTTTCCACCAAATATTTCTGCTTTATTTTCTTAAATTTGGTAAGACAAAGAGGGAAACTCACCAAGTCGACCTCCTATATGCTGGTCAACGGGAAGTAACTTTTGTTAAAATGAGGCGCATCGGGAACTATCTATTATAGGCTTCTAGCTACTCAACAACTGTGTTATTTTGATAACCATAAAATGTACTGGTCCACATAACTGGTTATAGTTTAAAGCATTACCATATTAATTAAATTACCTCATAAAGTGTGCTTAAAATTGCTTAAAAATCAAACAATATGTATGTTCTCTTTAAGTTAAAAACTATGAGTTGATGTGTGTTGAGAATCCCCCTAAGGGAGGGGTACCAAATGAGGAGAGAATAAGGATCGCCTTCAAAGTCCTGGATGACCTAGTTCCCAAGCTTGGAGTGTACACTAGAATCTTCACAAAAATTAAGGAGGATTTATATGGTATGAATTTGTGCTTTCATTTTAGCTCTACTTGAAATGTGCCTTTTTTTTCTTTTCTTTTTTTTTTTTATTGAAATTAACAGTTTAGATAAAGAACTATAGCTGTCAGTTGCAAAAAGATTGTAAACAAGTGAAACGGAAAGCTGTTTCCTATATGTTTATTTTAGCGAAAGTTATCGCCCTTGTTATTATTAATTACTTATCTTATTCATTGAAAATAAATACTTAATTAGTGTTGAATTTGAATTAAAGTTATCAATTATAATCATTGTATATTACTTTAGTTGGGTTGATAAAGATTTATTGACTGCAAGCTTGATTAGTGTTTTAATTAGTTTGTAAATAAATAATCACTATGTATTATTATAGATGGTATTTGGGATATATAGGGTTTTTACTGCCAATCATTCGAGAGTCGGTTTTAGAGGTAAAACTTGACAAACCTGTGTGTGTACATATAAGTGTGCGGACTTCCCTGCTTATATTGTACTGTTTTAAGTAGTAAGTGTGTGGTCATCCCTGCTTATTACTTGACAGAGTGTGTGGTCATCCCTGCTCTGTGATTGGCATCTTAAAGTAGCAAGTGTGCGGACATCCCTGCTTGTTGCTGCGCAAGATCAGGTGTGTGGACATCCCTGCCTGCATCTTGTGGTAGAGCATTGGTGTGCGGACATCCCTGCCAGTGTCTCTGTTATAGAACCGTCTTAGTGTCAAGTGTGCGGTCATCCCTGCTTGTCACTGCGCAAGGCAAGTGTGCGGTCATCCCTGCTTGTCTTGTGGAAGTGCGCTGGTGTGTGGACTTCCCTGCCAGTGTCACTTGTTCGCTACCAGTAAAGACCTTATATAACGCAGTACCAAGTGATTAAGACTGCGCATTGTACATATTTGCAGCATCTCAAGGCTATCCGTTTTTATCACGGGTACGAGCCTGCGGGGGTTCACAGGCAGTGACCTCCCTTGCACGTTACATAAAATTTGGTGGCAGCGGTGGGATACCTTGAGATAGCTGCGCAATGGAAGACGTGGACAAAGAACTGACTTTAATAGAAGAAAAGCTTGCGGAGCTGAAGGAAGAAAGTCTAAGGAACAGAAGTTTCAAGTCGTCGACTCCAGTGACCCCGCGTATTAAAGACAAAGTAAGAGATTCAGGTGTTGGCGAATCTCGTATCTCCGGAGAACTGCGACAGACAGAAGAAAAGTCACCAACGCATGAGCATGATGGTGCGCTAACCCAGCACGCACCTATCCTTGAAGAAAAGTCTACAGGACAATCTCTCAGGGACATGTTTAGAGAAGCCGGAGTAAGACCTTGCCATAACAGTCACGCAGAGTCTCCTACAAAATTTGAAAGAGAAGCGGTGCAAAACGACAGACCTAGACTGAGACTTAGTCATGAAGAACTATACAGAGACGATCGAGACGATTCTCTTCTCCCTGGAATAAGGAGGAGGAGATCCAGAGTTAGATTTGCAAGCCCTCATAGCGGAGACGACGCGCTAGCAGAGTTTCCATCACCAAGACAAATGATAAAGCCAGCAACGTATGATGGCAGTGGTCCCTGGTTGGATTATCATGCGCATTTCGAGGCATGTGCCGAAATAAGTGGATGGAGATATCATCAGAAGGGACTATATCTA